ACCCGACCAGCTTGCGCCACCGCCCAAGCAGGAGAAGAGGGCCAGTCCAAGTGATGCCAACAGTCTCAGCGTTCTGCGGGGAAATTCGCTTAGAGACATCGCCCCAGCCTGCATGTTGGCGCGGCCCGGCGCCTGGTGGGACTCGCGGGGCAGGCTGGGCGCCGTCGCTGGAAGGATCCCCCAGGGATGCTTCTTCATCATAGGGCGGTGCTAAGTATAAGGCGTTGGAAACTACTTCAAAAACATTGGGGGCGGCCCCCGAGATCTGCGGGTGCCGGCACTTCGACATTCGCGGGGGGGGCAAGGCGTTGGGGGGCGCTGCAGTGTCTGAGCCAGTGAGGACGCATGGCGAACCAGCTATTGCTCCTGCGGGACATCCCGCCGTTACTCTCGAAGTGCCTGGGGAATGCAGACGTTATTGGAGGCTGCTGGGTACCGCCGACCGAACGGAGAACAACCCAGCGCGCAGGCCCTTCACCGACGAAAGGGTCTGACCGTTACGTCGCGGTGCAGTGCGGCGCCCAGTGCACTGCTGCGCGCGTTGACGACGCGGTTCGCACGCGTCGGGTTGTTCGCGACGTATTGCGGGGAGAGCCTGCCCTCAATTATGAGTCCGAGAAGAAAAACGTGAGGGGGGTCCTCAAAGAGGCGGAAATCGGCGCAACAAAACTGGACGATCAAAAAAAGCACGAGCGTTCGGAATGGCTCACCACCGCCACTCACCACAAGCCGTTCTACTTCGACCAGCTTTCTGATAGGTTCGTCACATCGGTCGCTTCCTTCGACGAGTGCGTCGGCCGGGTGGGGCTCACTTACTCAACAACTGGCCGCCCGAACGCTACGAGAGCTGGCATGAACGCCACCTGAGAACTGTCAAAAGGTGCCTTCGCAACCTCCATTGGGGCCATCAGGCTCTGGCGGTGTTGGACCTCTGCGGCATGCTTGATCATTCAGGCATGCAACAGAACAAGCTCCAGGTGAAGAAGCTCGAATTCACTGGGGAGTCCCATCCGACGTATTTTCCGCGCCCAAGCAACGGGCGTCGCAGCGCTGGCATTAAATTGCCCCGAGTCCCTGTGCCAAATGGCAACCGACTTGACATCGCCAGGGGCACCTTGACATGGGCCAATATCCCGAACATTCTCCATGTCGGGCTGTCACGCTGCGCCAATGGTACTGGCAATGAAAGGGGCGGACAATTCATTCATGGATGCTCATATCCGCCTGGGGATAACAGAATCCAGTCTGGCCTGCACATCGATTCCGAAATATTGATTATGTTAAATCTCAAAAGCCTGTTTCGTGGCAGTATCGCAATTTGGCGTTCTGCGAATGATATCAGTATGGCGGCAAGCAACAAAGGCAGGATCCCGCCCAGCCACATTGTCCAGATCATTGGCATCTTGCCATACAAGACCCAATGTAGACATGGTCGAGTTGTACAGGTGCGGAACAATTCTCTATACATTCAGGACAACGAGCAGGGAAACCTGCGCGCTGACAACTTTCTTCCACAATCAGCATACGAGATCCCATATGACGCATCATTGCTGAGGAACTGGATGATAACTCAGACTCCCTACAACCTGAAAGGCGGTCGAATTCACTGCCCCATTCGGGGACACCTGCAGGCCCAGAGTGCGGACGTGTCTGGTATGACATCCAATTGGACTACGCCCAACAACGGGTTGTATGCAATCGACCCGCGACGTGCCCAGACGCAACCGTTGCTGGTACCTGTAGGCTGTAGGGCAACCTGCTTCGTTCGCGCCCATGAGCAGGGCCACGACACCATTTGGGACTCCACAGAGTGTTGGGAGCACCAACGGTCTGCAGGCGAGGCTCCAGAGCATCAGAATAGACCCTCAGCTCTACCAGGCCGTGCAAGCGACATCGCCATTTGCATCGCCACGTCCAATCGCGGGGTAACCTGCTTTTTCTGCCCACGAAGCTGCCCAGAGGGCTGCGACCGACGGATCTAGACGAACTCGCTGTCCTCTGGGTTGTCCGGGGTGGGCTGTGAGGCGCGGCCTCCTGTTTCCATCAAAACTTGTCGCCGCGCGCTCACCATTTGTGTATGTTTTGCGTTGAGCCTCCCATTGTGGTTTGTCGTCATTACGGCATGGTCCTGCGGGTCCCTGTCGTCATATTTGGCAGCAGTACCAATCCAGCGGCGAATAGCGCAAGACATGTTTTTGTTTTCTATCTTCTTCGCCATCATCATCTCCACGATTTGCCAGCGCATATGCTTACCTGAAAACCAGGAAGCCGTGAAATAAGGGTGAATCTGAGGACGCGCTAGGCAGCATAAAAAGAAACGGAGGAAGAGGAGGATGAGGAGGAACAGGAGGAGGAGAAGAGTCTACATCAAGGTCTGCCAGGAGACACGCTGGCTCTCGCAGCGTCCTCAGCAGATCCCCTCCTGGCCCAAGCGCGCACCTCGCCACAACACTTTGCAAGGCAAATCCGAGATTTCCCCATCACCGCCGTTGTAGGGCAAAGAACCACGCCGTATGTACGGATGGAGATCTCTGGTACGCTCCCGGGCGAGAGCAGGTACGAGAGCGATAGCTTGTAAATTCCATTTGCCATATTTTTCCGCGCCGAATCATTCCACACTCCCTAAGCCACTGTCCGCAATCACAGCGTATGTGGAATTATTCTCTCTTTCAGCTCGTTCCAATAATTTCCCCCCACGGTTACTCGTACCACTCCTGGGATGTGGGTTGCGTTACGCATACGTTCCACGTTGCGATCTGGCCATGCCCCCCAACTTCCAAGAAGATTTGCTTCCAATGTGCCACTAATTCGGTATTCCGCCCGTACAGCCCTCCCCCCGTAGCTTCCGTGAGGCGTCCGTGCCCATGGGGGTCTGGACCGTCTCAAGAGCTACTAATACCAAGTCGACGTCCGACCGCACACAAGAAATACGCATCAATTATGTGTAAACGTTCGGTGACGGGGCATACCAGAAACCACCCCGCAACAAACGGTCCCATAATATAATGAATCCGCGCTTTCCCCGGTGATGTTGCATTCGCACGTCGACTTGGTAAGGCTAATTCGTCCAACAAATGTTGATGTGCTGCACGTTCCGAGGGGTCTGATCCGTGAACTTGCCACCCGTGCTGCCATTCACCCAGATTAAGATGGTCCAGGTTCAGGGGGCGGATGAGCGTAGTCCGGTTGCCAGGTCTGCCCAATCGCGCCAACCTGCCCCATCACATTGTTGTCCAGCCCATTCCGCTGCGAGCACGCATGGCGGTGCATCAATACACGCTGGCGGGTCGGGTCTTATAAGCGACCTCGAAACATGGCGATGTTGGAATCGATGGCCTCATGGTCGGATCTTCTAAGATGACCATCTCGCTGCAGACATCCTCGGCGCACAAGAGACCACTGAGACGGCCCAGGAGGCCTTTAAGAGGTCCTCCAGACGGCTCGAAAGGGCCAAGGTCATTGATTGTCCTGCGATGTTTGAAGGATTCTGGCGTTTGCTCAGTCTCGGCTTTCCGACTGCCTGCGGTGGCCCTAGCCTCCAAGATGGCCCCAGGACGGCCCAAGAGGCTCCCAAAACTGAACCCACAGAATCAAAAGACGGCCCAAGAGGCTTCCACGACGTCCAAGGTGGCTTTCAGAACGATCTAAAACGCCCCAAGAGGGCCCCAAAACGCAGAAAGGCTCCCCAAACGGCCTCCGACGGGGTCAGACGGGCCAGGAACGCCGTAAGGAGGGAGGCTCCGAGAATGACTTAAGATGTTCCCTAGAGGTCTCCGCTTCTTTCTCATTGTCCTCCTTGTTCCTCCCTCTCCACATCCTGGTCTTCCTCCCCCGCGTGTTCCCCGAAGGGCTTTCACAACGGCTGGGGGAACGCATGGTCCAGCAGCGTGGCCACATAGGCGTATTCGAAAATGCAGGGGGTGGCGGTGATTCACCGTAGACGTCTTCGATCCTGGCGTGTTGAATTTCTGGAAACTTTGGTTTCTGTTCTGAAGATTTCCCACCCGGGTCTTAACCCCACCCGCTGGTCACCTGAACAGATCATCTGAGCCCAGTCGGTAATGATTTTTTCGCCCCACACGGCTCCAAGATGACCCAGAATGGCGTACAAGACGGCCGTAGTGCGCATGGCTCTAAGCGAATGTGCGATCGTTGTCAATGGACAGTGCGCTCACCCATGTTGGCCGAGATGCAACAGGAGGTCCCCCAGGCAAGGGCCGCTATTGGCGCGTGGAGGTGCTAGGCACTCGGGGGGGATAAATTTTGGGTTCCGTGGGCAGTCGTGGAGCCGTGTGTAATCGACGTGCAACGCGTCGGAAGGCTCCGAATGCTTCCCAGACCGCGTCAATGACGCGAGGGCCACGGTGGCCAAGGAAAGGAAGGCCCCATCGGCTCCGGCCCGCCAGGATGCCCCCGCCCCCGCGGCCGCGGCAGCCGCAGCTGCCGCCGCCGCCGTGATGATCATCGTGGTGGTGGTCGCAGTGCTCGTGATGGTGGTCGTCGTCTGTGGACGTGACTGGACGATTACACGTTCTGGGGCGTGTTGTGCTTTTCTGGGGCTTGTGGAGGCCTCGAGACTCTGGAGATCGGTGGGGCCGTCGGACGTCGTCGTCCGATCGTCGCCGTTGTAGTCTTCGTCAGACCTCTGGAAGCTGCCAGGGCTCCTCGTCGTTACTGTCGTCACGGTCGTCGTCGCCATATTCCTCGTGGTTTTGGTGGCGGTCGTCGTTGACGCCGCCAACGTCGTCGCAGCCGCCTACGATCGAGGAGGGAGACTGAGGAATGCAAGGTCGAGGGGAAATGTTTGACAATGCTCTTGGGCCTTCTTGGTCCTCGCGGGGTCGCTTTCGTCGCCGCGGTTGCCCAGAGCCTTGGGCTCCCGCCGGCGCTCGTGCAGCGCGCCAGCTCTGGCCGCCGCGGGCGCTAGAGTCGCGGCCAGCGTCATCGTCATTGTCGGCTCTGCCCGTTTTTGTGCGGGTTTGGACGTAGTTGGCCCTTCCGTGACCTCCCGTGCCAGAACTTGGGAGGCACCGTCAGACCTCTGTGGACCGTCAGGGTCATCGTCGTCCTCGTCGTCCTTGACACCTCTCCGCCTCCTCCTCCTCTTCCGCCTCCTCCTCTGGCCCCTGCGGTATTATTCAGAACATTCGCTTGGATGTTCGCGAACAAGATTCTCGGCATCGATGCTCCCGGAGAGACGTCCGGAAAAATCGCTCTGATGCTCCTGTACAATAGTTATTTTGAATTGCAAAAGTGTCCTGCTATACAAAAGTGCCACGGCGAAACTCAGGCGAATGAGCCCTCTGCGGTCGAAGCCGAGAAGGAGGCACTCATGTGCTGGCGTGCGGACTTCTCCAGACTCAGATGCTTCGTGCACGCAGCGGCGGGCTCGCTCACGTCGCTGTGGTCGTCTTCTCCCAGAAGGCCTCCGATAGCAAAGCCCGCTCGACCCAAATGCCTGACGTACACGTTCAAGTACAGCATGCCAGAGTTCGTGTGCCCGCGGGTGACCTTAAGCTCGACCTTACCGAAGGCAATCCACGCTGGCGTCTCGACCTCGTCGTGTGCCACGTTGTACTGATATCCCCGGGCCTTCTTCAGCTCTGCCCACGCACCCGTGACGTTTAGTTCTTGGAAGTATCCGCCGGCCCCCTCTGGGGGCGCAAGGCTGCGAAGGTGTGTGCAGTCTGCTGCCATGTGCTATGTGTTGTCATTTATTATTTGGGCGTTTGTCTCTCCAGTCCTGTTTCCTGCCTCCTGTTTACTGTCTGCTAAAGGGCCCCGCCGCGCCACACGGGGGGGGGATAAACCTCAAATCCAGGCTGCTCTGGGCCCCCCCAGCATTCTCATGGTGACGCCACCGCGCGGCCAGAACGGTCCGAGAGGCCTCCAAGATTGCCCGACGAGGCTCCGAAGAAAGCCTCAGGAGGCCAAGACGGCCCAAGATGGCCCCAAAATGTCCCATGACGATGGCCCCAAGACGGCCCAAGATGCTCCCAGTACGGCCCAAGAGGCCTCCAAGAGAGGGCCTCCCAAGAGGGCCTCACGAATCAGAAATCAATGATGTTCTTCACGTTTTTGCGAGTCTTTGGCCTTCTGGCCTTTTCGGCTTTCCGACGAGGTTCCCAAGATCGCCCCACGGCCCTAGAAGCTTCCCTGACGGCCCAAGAGATCCCCAAGACGGCCCGAAGAGGGCTACTCGACCTTTCTGCCCCGAGAGGGCCCCAGGAAGCCCCAGAGGCCCCAAAATGCCCCCAAGAAGCCCCAAGGAGACCCCCAAGAGACCCCAAGGAGACCCCCAGGAGGCCCCCCCAAGGCCCCATGGAGACCCCCAAGAGGCCCCAAGGAGACCCCCGCGCAGCCGCCCGCAATAGTAATAGGGGGGCCGGCGGCAGAGGGCGAAACCCCGAGTATATCTCCTCACATTGCCCACCCAATCGGCGCGCGGTGGCCTGTACGCGAAGCAAAACGTTTTCAGCGCGTTCTCCCCGAGGGATGTTGATAAGAACATGGTCGCCCGGCGCCATCAGATCGAACCGCTCACCGAAAACATTCTGCAAATGGGGATCGCCTGTGGCACTTGCTCCTGGAGACGGCGCCGGCGCCGTAGTGGGGCAGAATGTCACAGCGTCCGCGACGACAGCTGCATCGGCACCACTAGTGCTAATGACAACGGTGTCCCCCGCTCCAAATGTAAATATACCGAGGTTGCCATTACCCGAACTCCTCTGGTCAATTTGCCTGGAGATGACTGAGCCCTCGCTGTTGACATAGATCTGAACATTGGACGCTCTGTTGTTGTAACTTGTATACCCCACAGTGACGTCAAACGTTCCAGCGGCTGGTACTGTGTAAGCGATAACGCCCGCCATGTCAATGTTAGACCACAAATACCCTGAGCCGTAAAAGCCTGGTATAGCTGTACTCGTCCCCCAAGTTCCTTGAATCTGTTGTACCGACCCACTATCTGTGTCGTCGATCACAATGCACGTCCTCATGCCGCGGTTCGTCTCGTTGGAGGACTGGATCGCGGACGCCGCGGTCATGGCGGCCCCGATCGGCGACGGCAGCAAGCAGAAGATGGCGATCAACATAATGCGGACCATTGCGTCCGTGCAGACGGACCGCGGTCGCACCTTTTTGTCAGAGCGCGATCTTAGACAGTGTGTGTGTGTGTGTAAGTGTGCGGGTACCTTTGCAGACTGAGCCAAATTGGTTGCGGAAAAGTCTACGCCCTTGGACCCTCTACGACCCTTGGAGGCTATCGCATACATACGTTGGGGCTGTATGGGGTTACCTTGCGACGCGCGTTAGCCGTCCGTGGGCATTTTAGCATCTCAGGCCTCATCGGTCCCCTCTGGAAGCGTGTGAGGGTGTGCAGAATTGGGTGGCGGGACCGCATGTGGGCTGTCCACTGAGACCTTTGGTCGAGCTCCCCGTGGGGTCACGAAGCGTGTGAGGGGTGTGCCGACATGTGTGCAAGGGGCGCATGCGGGCTGCGTCACTGGGACCTTCGGTGGAGCTGCCCATCGGTGGCGGGACCGCATGCGGGCTGCGCCACTGGGACCTTCGGTGGAGTTCTATATAGGGGGCACGAAACGTGTGAAGGGTGCGCCGAAATAGGTGGCGGGACCGCATGCGAACTGCGCCACTGGACCGTCGGTCGAGCTCCGTATGTGGCCACGAAACGTATGAAGGGTGTGCCGAAATAGGTGGCGGATGCGAACTGTGTCACTGGGACCTTCGGTGGAGCTCCTTCTTGTGGGGCCACGAAACGTGTGAGGGGGGTGCCGAAATAGGTGGCGGGACCGCATGCGGGCTGCGTCACTGGGACCTTGGGTGGAGCTCCTCCCTGAGGGGCCACGAGACGTGTGAGGGACGTGCCGAAATAGGTGGCGGGACCGCATGCGGGCTGCGCCACTGGGACCTTCGGTGGAGCTTCCTATGGTATGGGGTCACGAAGCGTCTAAGGGGTGTGCCGAAATTTTTGGCGGGACCGCATGCGGGCTGCGCCACTGGGACCTTCGGTGGAGCTCCCTATGGGGCCACGAAATGAGTGGTGTGCCGAAATAAACGACGGGCCAGCATGCGGGCTGCGCCACTGGGACCTTCTGTGGAGCTCACTGTAGAGCCACGACACGGGTGAAGGATGCGCCGAAATGGTCGGCAAGACGCCATGCGGGCTGCCCCACTGGGACCGTCTGTGGAGCTCCCTTGGGGCCACGACGCGTGCGAAGGGTGTGCCGAAGTGGTCGGCGGGACCGCATGCGGGCTGCCCCGTCAAAACGAAGACCCAACACCACAGGATGGTTGGGAAAAACATCGTCGATTCCCCCGACATGTGTTACATATTAGAACGCTCTCGCCTTGTCGGGCGTTTGACGCTCTAAGATGGCCCGCGTGGCCCCCCAAATCGCTCCAAAACGGCCCAAAAAGGCCCCGAAGAGGGCCCCAAGACGGCCTACGGGAGCCTCAAGACAGCCGAAGAGCCTCCCAAGATTCCAAGATGGCCTAAGAGGGTCCCAAACGAGGCCCAAGAGGGAACATTAGAACAGACAGGCCGCGCCCTCCGCCTTAGTATGGCCCCTGGATGCCACCAAGAAACTTCATAATGCCCCCCTAAGAGGCCCAACTGCACACCAAAACCTCCTCCAAGAGACTCCCGAAAAACCTCCCAGGAGATCCCTAAAGGCATCAAAGAAGGCTCTGACCTACAAGCCAGGCGCGGTGGCCGGATGCATCGAACAACACCAAATCAACCGCCCCTGCGGTCTTGCCACAGGGGTGCCCGGCGTGCTAAACACTACAGCTTGTGGTTTTGCCTCTCTTCCAAAAGAGTTCCCCCCTGGGGCTTCGGCCGCCCCGCCAGCCACCCGGAATGGCCCGCCCGCTGCGCCACCGACGTCTCCCCAAACGGCTGTTTCGCTGGGGACATCCCCAACAAACCGCGGCCTTGGGGATTCTGGCCCAAGACGCCTTCCATTAAGAATGAGCGTTTCATACGAGACATCCTCGGAACATGGTGATGATGAAATCGATGGCCTCATCGTCGGATCGTTCAAAATGACAAGTGACAAGTGCGCTGCAGAGATCCTCAAAACAATGCGATGCCAAAGCCCAAGACGGCCCAAGAGCCTCCCAAGAGGTCTCCAAGACGGCCCCAGAAGCCCAAGCTGGCTCCAGGATGGCCCAAGACGCTCCGAGACGCCCCCAAGAGGCCTCCAAGATGGCACAAGAGGTCTCCAACAAGTCCTCCAGGAAGGCCAGAAGAGGCCAGAATCATTGATATCCCTTGACTTGTTGAAGGATTGTGGCATTTGTTTTGTTTCGACCTCCCGACGGCCTCCCGACGGCCCAAGAACACCCAAATATCGCAGCAAGATCGCCCAAGAGGCTTCCAAGATGGCACCGAGTCGGCCCAAGAGGATCCCAAGAAGCCCTGGAGCACCCCAGGAGGGAGAGCTCCAAGTCGGCACAGAGAGGTCCTCAAGACGGCTTCCGACGGCGTCAGACGGGCCAGGAGGCCATGAAGACTGCCCAAGATGGATCCAAGATGGCCCAAAACAGCCCAAGAGGCCCCCAAGAGGTCTCCAAGATGGCCTGAGAGGCCTCCAAGAGGGCCTCCAAGGCCCGAAGAGGCCAAGATCGTTGATGCTCCCTGAGATTTGAAGGATTGTGGTACTTGCTTCGCTTCGGCCTTCCGACGGCCCGAGACGGCACAGGAGCACCCAACGGTCGCCCCAAGATCGCCCAAGAGGCATCCAAGATGGCCCCCAAGACGGCCCTGGAGCACCTCAAGAGGGCCCTACATCGGCCCAGAGATGCCCCCCCCCAACGGCGTCCGACGGGCCAGGGATGCCCTAAGACTGCCAAAGAGCCCCCCCCTCCCCCCCTCCCGGAAGACCCCCAAAGCTCCCAAGAGGCCCAAGGAGGTCCCCAAGATCCCTCTAAGAGGCTCTCAGGAAGCTCCCAGGAGGCACCGAGAGTACCCCCAGAGTTTCCCAAGATGCCCCCTCCTTTGTCCTCCTCCTCCTCCTCCTCCTGATATTCCCCGCCATCCTCCCCCGAGTGTTTTCGAAAGGTTTCCACCACGGCTGGGGGAACAATGGTCCGATAGCTTGACAGAGCTCTTGCCACAAAGCTCGGCCACATGGGCGATTCCAAAAAGCAGGGGGCGGCGGTGATTCGCCGTAGGCGTCTTCGATCGGCTGCCCTTTGTTGACTTATCACAGGGGTGCCTGGCGTGCTCGACGTCTGTGTCTTTCTGTTATTGTCTAAAGAACGCCCAATGGGGTCTCGGCCCAACCCGCTGGCCACGAAGAGCCCGTACATTCCCCCCTAAATCTCCAAGACGGCAAATCTGGTCCAAGATGGACTCCAAGACGGCCAAGATGGCCCCAAGAGAGTCCAAGACAGGCCCAAAACGGCCTCCAAGACGGTCAAAGGATGTCTCCAACACCGCCAAGATAGCTGAAGAAAACCCCAGACGGCCCAAGAAGCGCACACGAGGCCGCTGAGACGGCTCAGGAGGCCTCCAAGAGGTCCTCCAGGAAGGCTCGAAGCGGCCAAGATCGTTGATTTTCCTGCGGTGGTTGAAGGATTGTGGCGTTTGCTCATTTTCGGCTTTCCGACTGCCTAAGATGGCCCTAGGGGCCCCCAAGATTGCCGTAAGATCTTCCAAAACGCCTCCAAGACAGCCCAAGAGGCTCCCAAAACTCAGTCCCTGGAGCACCAAGGCGGCCCATGAGGCCTCCACGACGTCCAAGATGGCGTTCAAAACGACCTGACGCGCCCCAAGCGGGCCCTCAAACAGCCTAGAAAAGGCTCCCCAAACGGCCTCCGACGGCGTCAGACGGGCCAGGAACGCCGTCTGGAGGCCCCAAGAATGACCCAAGATGCTCCCGAGAGGCATCCTCTTCCTTCTCCTTATCCTCCTTGTTCCTCCCTCTCCTCATCCTCCTCTTCCTCCCCCCGCGTGTTCCCCGAAAAGATGGTGGCACAATTCGCTCTAACGGCTCCCCCGGTTAGGCCTTTCCGCTAGCGCAGACGACCCCTGCCTCGCCGCCGACGCAAAACAAGTTCCCCAAGGGTTTCCACAACAGCTGGGGGAACGCATGGTCCAGCAACACGGCTAGTTTGGTAACATAGGCGTATTCGAAAAAAAGCAGGGGGGCGGCGGTGATTCACCGTAGGCGTCTTCGATCTGCCGCCCCCTGTTGATTTATGAAAGGGACGCTTGCGTGCTGAAGTTCTGGGAGCTTTTAGTTCTGTTCTGAAGAACTCCCACCGGGGTCCCCACCCGCCGGCCACCTGGAAAGACTATCCGAACCCAGTCGGCAAGGATTTTGTCCGCTCCGCATGTCTCCAAGACGGCCGTAGCGCGCGTGGTTCTAGCCGAGTGTGCAGTCGTTGTCAATGGGCAATGCGCTAACCCATGATGGTCGATATACCAAAGGAAAGGTCACTCAGGCAAGGGCCGCTCTTGGCGCGTGGAGGAGTTTGGCACTCGGG